CTGCATTTCTGTAATAGCAAACTATTAGAAACAGCCAAATGCCTATTGATAGGGTACTGATTAAATTATGGCATATACATATGATGGTATACACAGCAGTAAAACAGAAAAAAATGGAACTATATAATGATATAGAATAGTCTCAAAATAAAAATAAAAAATAATATGTATAGTATATAACTGTTGGTGTAAAAGAAGAAAATATAGGTATTTATGTATGCACAAAACTGGAAGACACACAAAATTAGGTGTAGGTTGTTACCTCTTTGAAGGGAAAATGCATGTTGTGTGGCTTTCCACAGTATACACCTGCGATATATTGAATCATTGTTTACAATTACTTTTCATTACTACCCAATATAGTGCAAAAAGTCTATTTGCCCACCCCATTGATTTGGGGCTTGGTGTTTGATTTGGCCAAATACACACTTATTGAGTACCTACATCTATATCTGATTTTATTGATATATAATTGATTTTAGCCAATTGAATTTGGGTTGAGATTATAGAGCACTGGTTTCAGTCTGGAGTTTTAGTAAACATTTCATGTTCTTGTTCAATCTCTTCTTTTTCTGCCATCATTATAACAAAACTGAACTTAGATAGGCTACTGTTCCAAGGGGAATGAGAGACAACTGGAACAGACCTAGACACCACAGGCTCAAGTGAAACCCAGCAGAACCAGCCTAGTTCAGCAGAACACCAGACAATGCACCATTTCATGAGAAAGAAATATTTAAGATGGTATGGTAATTAAATATAATTTGATTGAATATAATTAAAATTAAAAAAACAGCACAAATTTTATCAGTTTTAACACATATATACACACATGAAACTATGACTTCAATGAAAATAATTCATATATCCATCATCCCTAAAACTTTCCTAGTGCCCCTTTGTAATCTGTCTCTCCACCCCTGCCCCCCAGGCAAGCTATAATCTGCTTTCTTTCACTAAAGATCAGTTTAAATTTTCTACAATTTTAAAATAAATTTAATTACATAGTATATACTCTTTCATGCCTGGCTCTGTTACTCAGAGTAATGAGTTTGAGACACATGCCTGTCATAGCATACATCAATAGTTCATTCCTTTATATTTCCAAACAATATTCCATTGTTTGGATATGATCACATTTTGTTTAGCTATTCATCTGTTCATGAGTATTTGGGTTGTTTCCAATTTCTGGCTATTATGAATAAGAGCTACTATGGAGATGCGAAGAGACATATGAAAAAATGCTCAAAGTCACTAATCATCCAAAAGATGCAAATCAAAATGACAATGAGGTATCATCTCACATCTGTCAAAATGGCTATCATCAACAAATCAACAAACAACAAGTGTTGGCGAGCATGTGGATAAAAAGGAACCCTCGTGCACTGCTGGTGGGAATGCAGACTGGTGCATCAAATGTGGAAAACAGTATGGAGTTTCCTCAAAAAATTAAAAATATAACTGCCATTTGACCGTAATCCCACTAGGAATATATCCCAAGAAATCAGAAACACCAGTCAGAAAGGATATATGCACCCCTATGTTCATAGAAGCACAATTTACAATAGCTAAGATTTGGAAACAGCCTAAGTGCCTATCAGCCGATGAGTGGATTAAAAAACGGTGTAACATTTACACAATGGAATACTACGATGCTATAAAAAAGAAAGAACTCTTACCATTCACAACAGTATGGATGGACATGGAGAGCATTATGCTAAATGAAATAAGCCAGTTGGAGAAAGATAAATATCACATGATCTCACTCATTTGTGGAATATAATGAACAACATAAACTGATGAACAAAAATAGATCCAGAGACAGAGAAGCATCAAACTGACCATCAAACTTCAGAGGGAAAGCAGGGGAGGGGGAATAAGAGAGCAACCAAAGGACTTGTATGCATGCATATAAGCATAACCAATGGACACAGACACTAGGGTCGTGAGGGCATGAGCTTGGAGGTGGGGGTGGCCAGGGAGAGGTCAATGGGGGAAAAAGGAGACATATGTAATACTGCTAGAGGCCTGGTGCATAAAAATTCATGCACTGAAGAGGGGGGGGGTCCCTCAGCCCGGCCTGCCCCCTCTCACAGTCCGGGAGCCTTCGGGGCAGGAGGCAACTCGGCCATCAGGGGAAGGCAATGCCCCATCACACCTCTGCTGTTGCCACTGCCGGCAGCACAAGCCTTGGCTGGCCCTGGTTACCTGAGCCTTGGGTGGCCCTGGGTGACTGGGAAGCTGCCATCCGAGGCTTGCCTGTGCCTCGGGCCGTCCCTGGGTGGCTGGAGGGCTAAAGGGACTAGGGGACTCCAGAGGCAGGCGCGCAGCAAGGCCAGGCCTGCCTGCCGCCCAGGCGGGGCTGAGGGGACTGGGCGCTGCCATCTTGTGGCTGTGGGCGCCGTCATCTTTGAGGGCATGGCAGTCAATTAGCATATTCCCTCCTTATTGGCTGTGGGCGCTGCCATCTTTGAGGGCAGGACAGTCAATTAGCATATTCCCTCCTTATTGGCTGTGGGCGGCGCCATCTTTGCAATGGTGTGAGGGTCAGTTGCATATTCCCTCTTTATTAGATAGGATATGTAATACTTTAAACAAAGAATAAAAAAAAGTTACTATGAACATTCATGTAAGTCTTTATGTGAACATTTATTGCCATTTATCTTAGATGAATATGTAGATGTGTAATGACTGGGCCATGTAGTAGACATATACTAGTATTTAACCTTTTAACAATCTGACACACTGTTTTCCAAAGTGTTTGGACCATTTTGCAATCTCACTAGCAATGAATAGTAGGTCCAGTTGTCCCACATTCTTACAAACATTTCATATGGTCAGTCTTTTAAAGTATAACAAACTTAATGAGTGTGTAGGAATATCTTATAGTGGTTTTAATTTGCATTTCCCTGGTGATTAATAATGTAGTGCATATTCTCATGTGTGTATTGACCATCCATATAACTTTTTTAAGAAGTGTCTATTCAGCCCAGCCAGTGTTGCTCAGTGGTTGAGCATCGACCTACGAACCAGGAGATCATGGTTCGATTCTCAGTAAGCACACATGCTTGGGTTGCAGGTTCCATCCCAAGTAGGGGGCATGCAGGAGGCAGCCTATTAATCATTCTCATCATTGAAGTTTCTGTCTCTCTCTCCCTCTTCCTTCCCCTCTGAAATCAATTAAAAAAAACATTTTTAAAAAGTGTCTATTCAAATCTTTGTAACATTGGGGAAGGGGTGTATTTGTCTTCTTTTTGAGTTGTGTTATTTGCTTATTCTTTATAGAAATCCTATGTTTGACATATGTGATGTTGTTGCTCAATTTGGACCTAGATTGTTAGGCAGCATTTTTAAGGGTGCAGCTGACCCTTAGATATATTTTCAATTATATACATTGATAATAAATTGCCTTTCAAAATAAGTAAGTGCAACTAAATATGCCAGAAAGCAAAAATATGTATTGTCAATTGTTTAAAGTGAAAGGAAACTACTATTTATTGAGTACCTACTAGATATGCTAATAGTTTTACTTAACTCACTGGATCATCACAACAACTCTACCAGGTAGGTATTATTATACCTCTTTCAGCAATTCAGAAAACTGAGGACACAAAAAGTAAAACTGAGGTTTAGAGTCAGATAGCCTATAAGTGGTAGGGATTGGATTCAACCTTGTGTCTGCCTAACCTCAATGTTACATCTATGAAGTATAGTTTGTCTTTCTTCCAAGTCCAGGGCTAATGTCCAAGTGCCAAAATGTCCACGCAAGTGGCTAAAATGGAACTAAAACTAAATTGCATTGAGTGGTGGTGTTATTTTACATTACATTTCATAGCAATATTATCCAAAACATTTTATTCCAAGTTCATTGAGAATTAATTTATCCTTTCTCTGAGGTTCCAGCAACATACTATGAGACCATAATTATAGGTCTCAATTCACTCTGCCTTATGGTGAATGGCCATTTTTCCTATGTCTGGCCATCTCAGACATTGGAAGCTCTCTGATGTTGGGAACTGTGTTTATTCACCTGTGTACCCCCACTCCAGAGCACATACTAGTAGCAGAAGGTTGCCCCATGGCCAATTCAATAACCATAAACCATTTCCTAGGTTAATGGTGCCATGTGTGAAACAGAGGCTTCAGACATGGTCTTTGCCCTCAAAGAGCTCACAGTCTAGTAAGAGAAGCAGACATCAACAAATGATTTCATTGAGTATATTAAATGCTACAAAAAGTATTTTAAAAAGCTGTGGGAGCTCAGACAAGTCAGTAAACAATGCCACAAATGTTTGTTGACTGAAACGTTCTGTGATTTGAAAGATTCCAATTCATCATATCTAGTGCAGAGCTTAAGAACACCGAATGTGGAGGCAGACCACCTGAATTTGTGACTCAGTTCTAATTATCTATATAACTGTGGGGAATTTACTTAACTCTTCCACAGCTGTCTCATATGTATAATGGGCATAACTACAGAACTTATCACACATGTTTAAGGTGAGAATTAAATAAGTTATTACATTGAAAACATATTATTTACCCATTGTTTATTATTATTATTACTAGTAGCCAGGTGCACGAAATTCATGCACTGGGGTAGGGGGGGAGAAGGGGCCCCTCAGTCTGGCCTTCACCCTCTCCAATCTGAGACCCCTCAGGGAATGTCCAACTACCTGTTTGTGCCCACACTTTTAACAGATAACAGCTCCATTGTTGTTCCTTTCTTATGCTTAAAACCATTGGAATTAGTAGGTATTCAAAGTGTGTATACATTTTGGGGGGACACCCTGTATATCTCTAGTCAGTGGTGAAAAAAACCAACAGCAGATTTGGAACCCCCAGACAGGGAACCTTGCTCATTCCCCACATGTCTCCC